GGCGCACAAATTTGCGACGCAGTTCTTTGGGATGGACGCGAGAGAAATCGAGATAAGTTTACAAGATGATGCAAAGGAAGGATACGATCTTGACCCGGCTGAAATTTTGAATTTAGCCGAGGAGATTTACACATTGAAGCACATTGTGCGCGCCGATACTTTGAATGCGAGAGTGTAGCTGATACTATAGGAACAAGTCAACGATGGGAGGTGTCGTGGTCTACCTCCTGGTGGTGATATCCAGTAAAGTTTGAGCAGCCTGGGCACCTACTACACTTGGGAATAGAATATAATTAAATTTAAGTCCCTGCTGAGTTTATGACTGTGAAGGACTACTACACTTGGGAAGGAGACGTGTCAAACCACATTTCGCGCAGAGAGAGGCTAAAGGATGGAGGCATATCTGGATAACCCAGGGGATTTGAGACGTTTCCCTGTATGATTATTTACGGCTGAGGGTTGACTCGGGGTGAAGAAAAGCCACCTTAACTTGGCACTGGTACTGGCAAATGAAACTTGAAGCATGAGCGCTCCGTGTTTAATTTGAGTCATCTTTTCTGTAATTTTTCTCAGATATTCCAAAAATTATTACAAATAACAAGGCAACAGTATCATTGAACTGGATGCCAAGCCACTCAGATATAGAAGGTAATATTGAAGCAGGTAGACTAGCCAAGGAGGCTACCAGGATAACCCCAGATACAGTTGGTCTCAGTTTTGCAATGACCAGAGCCCAGATTCTAATAAAAATTCAACATCCATGGCTTGCTCTTCTAACGCATAGTGATAGCAATTCAAAACAAAAGCCACTTGCTCATATGAAAAAGTTCAAATGAAATATCAATTCTAAACTTAGGATATCCTCTGAAGTAAGCAGAGAAGTTTCAAGTGCATTCTATCAAATCAAGCTAAGACATGGATACAACAATGCATACCTTTTCACACAAGGACACAGTGAGAATGACAAGTGCAGATGTGGGAAGTGTGAGATGCCAGATCACCTCCTACTCAGTTGCAGCAAGTGTAGACATGAACGACAACTGCTTAGACAAGAATCGAACAGGAATATATTGACAATGAATTTGCTTCTTCACACTAAAACAGGGATAAATTAAGTCATAGAATATGTTAAAAATACTAAAATATCAACTAGAAGATGGCACCAGGAGAGAATAGAGGCAGTACCCCAGAATTGGTATTAAGTAATCCCCAATTAAAATTGTGGGTATGAAGGCAAATGGGAGGCTTGAAAGGTAAACAAATGCAGAAAGGCATATAAGACATAAAGGGCTTGACCCTCAATATCTATAAGAACAAATTTTGGCATATTTCAAAATTAAATTTCTCAAATGTAATTAGAATCTTTAGTAAGATTCACGAGGTCTTCCATAGTCTTAGACTTAGTAGGGACTATAGTAAAAAAAAATTTAATCGAATCTCTGATATTGTGTTAAAGCTAGCTAGCTGCATACACAATTTAAATGTGATGCAAATAAAGCCCTGCACACATTTTTCATGCTATTGTGTGCAGGCATGACGCTGCAAGAATTTCCAAAAAACCTTCTTAGTTGTCAAGACAAACTATTCCACCTACTCATGTAAGCTAAGATAGCCAGGTCATGTGACCTGGCTATCAGTACATAGACTTCATCTGTAGTAGTAGGGCTCTCTAGTCAACATTTACAACGTATTACCGTGTCCCACATATCTTTCTTAAGATTAATTATTCTCTCCACCCATAGACCAAGTATATCTATGATAGTAGGATATCCCATCCTATGACTCCTGTACGGCTTCCAATAAACACTTCTGCCCCTCACAAGTCCTCGTTCGATTATACAATTGGAGGAGCCCTCAGCCCTTCATTATCTCCCCTCTCCAGCTAACGAAGCAATGGCTATTAGTGGGTTTATGGCAGCCTGAAAAAATCGCAACAACTATTGGGTGCGGAGTTCTCAAACAAATATTATAACTGAATCCAAAGATAAAATGACATGTCTGAAGTATTCTAAGAGGCCAGCCAGCTGGGCGCTACAGACTTTTTGGTACCCAAGGAAAGTTACACTCTGTCTTTCTAGCCTCCTCTTAGCTCTTTCTTCCTAGGTCATGTTGGAATGTCAGAAGCATTTTGACAAAGTATGTGTGCCGTATCGTAGCTTAGGTCAACTTCTTTTTGTCATCTTAGGCACTTGAGAGTGCCGCAGATTCATTGTCAATAGAGTTCCACGGTTAGTTTTTCATTCAATCTCGGCTCTGCAGACTGTAAGGCGGGTTCAAGTGGTTCGTGGGAGACACAGCTGCCAGGTATTGAGTCTTCTTCTACTTTAAATATTTATTAACTATCCGTAAACTCCACAAAAATTATTAATCATGTCTTGATTAGATTTAAGGCCGGTGTGCAATCTCAATTCTCCTGAAGTAAATAAATTTTGTGTATGAACGTGCTGGAAGATGGCGCCATCCACACTTTTTTGGGGGCCTTAAATCGAGTAGGCCCGGGCTGAATCAGGTCAACTGCCATTAAGTGTGTCAGCATGTCCTTACTTAGGCTTTACCCATAGGTTGGACCATGCTAAGCTCGAACGTCCAGAGAGTCCTATTATGGCATACTGAAGAGCAAATTCCTTTTCAGGATCTAGCACCGCGAACCTGAGCCCTTTACATCTCAAAATTTATATTTTACTTTTGTTTCTGTGGCGGCCTTATATCATCTCGGCATCTCCCGTTCCATCCGTCCATCTATCCAACTTCGAATAAAGGCCGAGTTTGCGAACAAGAGCTCAAGATCGAAACACCGATATCTCCGTTAGAATTTAGGAAGTTTGGGTTGATGTTATCGTACTACTTGAGTGAATAATTCTCTAGAAAACTGGCTCCTCTTTAACCTAGGCTACACCTTGTACAGTGCTCTTATCCTCATTTGATACCAGAAAGATCTCTACCATTTTGCCCGTGATGGATAGTCATTCAGTTCAGTAATTACCCATATGATCCAGCCTAATTTTCATGGAGACTTCTACTCATAAAAATAAATCGGTTGCGATGAAGGCAGCATACGCGGGACAAATTCTATAAAATCTGCCGTCCCAGCCAGGCGAGGCCTAGATACCGGGATTTTATGAGGTTCGCATATCCATCTATATTTCTATTTCCTGTAGCATTAGAGGCCATATTGATCCGATCCACTATTTCCGTATCGGGAGCCGGGTATGCCCTGGAAACTCATAGGATAGATTAACCTTCATTATCAAGGGTTGGTGATGAGAAGGGGTTCAGGTCCATCATCTGATCTAATCGTGGTTAGCTTCATGACAATAGTGATAGGAAGTTGTGTTGAGAGATGAAGACAATAAGTACCGCGAAAGCGGCTGAGAATCCTCGTCGAAGTCAGGACTTTGTTACTCAATCTCGGCTCTGCAGACTCTACAGTGAGAGGTGGAGATTCGTAGAGGACACCAGAACAGACCTATCTTGGGAGGGAAGCACAGAGGTGCTCTTGACCTTGAATTATGGCCTCGTAGGCCCATATCATCTTGAATGCGAAATTGGACTGAGCTGCTAAACGGGACAACTTTTCACTGCCAGGGTCACATTAGCCACAGCTGATAAGTTCTCAGTATTCACTTCTCCAATAGCGACAGTGTTTGTAAGGTTTTCTGTCCATTTGTGTAGTTGCACGGTACTGCATCAGTCTCAATAAATATATCTTACACTTGGCATTTTCTACGGAACTTCTAATCATACTAATAACAAATATCATCTTTGGAGAATGGCAAGTATATTTACTGATGAAAAAACAGGCAGCACCAAAATGAACTTCAAAGATACATCCTTAAAAATCCACCGTAAACTAACCGAGGCCCAAAGCACTGTCGCCATTCAGCTAAGAAGAGAGCATGTCAGGCTCAATTCTTACCTATGCAGAAGGAAACTATCCGATGAAGAAAAGCCAAGCTTTCAATGTGGATATCCGTCAAAATGTCGAGCACATGGTGTTTGCGTGTCCACAATGCGCAGGTGGTAGAGGCGAATTTCTCCGACAAGCTAAAGACAGGTCATTTGAAGCCATGGTTAACAGCCTAGAAGATGTGGCTAGAAACACACAGTTGGTACTAAGCAACGGATAGATAAAACGGGTTCGACTTGCAGGGGGAGTCGAGGTAGAAATATCGGATGTAATAAATCGACCTGGAAGGAGAGAGGACGGAATCCACACTTGTCGAATAGTGTAAACTGCACTTCTTGAAGATAAACTAAAGAAGTCAATAGCAGTTTAAACTAGCAGGATCAGAGGGTTTTCACCAAACTGGTTTCCTATTTTGTAAATAATGAAGATAGTCACCTGCATGGACCCATAGGATGCCTGATCGGGTAACATGAAATCAAATCCAGGAAATATTAACCAAACATTTATAAAGGCACCAACTTTATTAATAATCTCGGCATAGTCCGTGTCTGTTATTGGTAGGTGCGCAGAAGAGATGCTCTTACCCTATGTTCAACATGTGGCTGAATTGTCATAGCTAGTTAGGCTGCATACACTTAATGATTTAAAAAAAAAAACATGTGGCTGCAGGGGAGTATAAAAACGACAGTGGGATCTTTTGGAAGAGTTGAGGTTATTCAGGTTTAAATAGTAGAGGTTCTAAAATATGAAAATTTGTATGATTCTAGCGTTGCGAAACCGTCGTGGTCCAGGGTTTCGTCCACACGCCATCCAAGATAGACTCTAATATACAGCTTTGCAAGATATTTACAGCCTAACCCACCGGAAACTTTTAGATCTTGGCTTCCAGAGGGTAATTTATTCCAAAGTCTGTTGAGCTGACTATTTATCCGCGTCTCTCTCTCAGCCTCTGCAATTCCAGTAGACCCCACTTACATGAAGATACGATAAGCCGGTCGGATGTCTTTTAGCCGCGCGCTTAATAGACTTCTGACATGTTCAAAACCATGATGAGCCGTTCGTCGTAGATTAACATGTGTACGATATTTGAACAATGTCTGAAGTTGAATCACAAGAAACAACTACAAGCATCGAACCTAACATATCTCCAGATGATTTAAATATTAGTCTTGAAGTTCTTTACCAAAAACTACAGGATCTCGAGCTAATTGAGCAAAAAGTATTCGGTTGCGTGGATAATTCACATGGCCGTACGTTCTTACAGAACCTTGAGACACAAAATGATGATACCGATGGCCAAAAAGCCTCTCAGACTAACTCTTCCGATACCTTGCTTCACAAAGCTGGTCGTGAGAAGATTAGATTTCTAAAAAATATGATCGACAATATAGACACCTTGCGTGGAATGATTCGAGACAAGACTAAGATTATCGCCAGATCGCATATTAGACAACTAAATATTCTTGATCTTCCTGATGAGCTACTTATTCGAATCTGCGAAGAAGTACAAGGTAGAGAAGAATGTCATATAAAGTATATTCCCGATGCAAATATTGGCATACAAGAAGTCAAAAACCTGCGACTAACGTGCTGGAAATTCTGCAATGTGAGCTCTCATCTTCTAATCAGCTGCGTACATGTGGATCTAGAAGCAAACTCGATAGCTCACCTTGATGAAGTTTCACGACATCCAACAATTGCAAAGGGTGTTGAGGTTGTTCAGATAAACATGCTGTACTATGATTCTATTCTAGAGGAAGACGTGGAGACTTTTGGCGACTTTCATGCGCGACAACTTCATGACGTTACTGAGTGTGTAGAGGATATGGCTTCCCATGATGTTGATCTTTTTGCGGGAACGCCTAGCGAAGTTGTTAATAGCGCCATCCAAAAAGGATGGGCCATTGGAAACGCCTGGTTTGATTATGTCAATGACGATAGTGAAAATAAGCCTACGGACAAGTGTGAGGGATATCAAAAAATACTTCTAGCGGCATATGAGCAGTACAGGCAAAAGTATGCGGCACAGGAAAAGCTCCTAAAGAGCGGAGATCTGCCCCGAGTAGTTGCTGCGTCAATGGCAAGAATGCACAACGCTACCCGACTCGACCTACACAACTCTGAATTCACAAGAAGATATCGTAGACCTGACTATTTAACTATGATTAATAATGAGGAAAGTCTCATTAAAAGCACACTTTTCCCCATAACCTGGGAGAAGGGGATGCGCTTTGAGCTTGGAAACCCACCACTTGAACTTCTATTTCAATTACCAGCAGCCATTTATGAAGCTGGTGTTTTCCTGAGCACCCTCGAAATAAGAGCTCCACCCTGTGACTTCTTATCCTTGGCTTCAGATAAAGAATCCCTCCAAAAAGTTAAGGATGCGACGCAGAGACTCAGAAACTTCTCATATGACCCGAGAGTATCGTACTGCTCGGGACTTTGGTCAGCTGAGGAGTCTAACGAAATTGAAGCCCTGGGTGAATACCTAAACGCGCACCTTCAGTCTCCCCTTCTTGAAGATATCAGACTTTCATGTGACTTCCTACAAATTGACGCAGTCCCTCCTTGGTTTAACCTAGGTGTTGTTCTTACCCGTAATCATTGGCCAAGACTTAAAATTATATCTTTGACTGGATTAGCCTTTCACTTCTCCGAACTTGAGATATTCATCAATCAAGTTCAGAAGCCACTCACCGTCTGGTTTCGACGTCTGCATCTTTTAAGTGGTACTTGGTCCAAGGTACTCGATATTTTACGAGGAAAAGTTGGATCTTATCCGACAATAGAGGATCTATCAGGTGGAGAATTCGATGATATGTCGGATGAAGAAAAAGAGGATATCTTGGGAAAGGCGAAAGTTGGCTGGGACATGAACAAAGTGGAACTATATGTTCTTTCAATTTACGGGCCTCCTAATCCTTTTAAAAAAAATTCATAGGTTCCAGCAAATATCAAACAAAGCGAAGAAACGAATGATTTATACCAAACAATGGATTTTCTAATTAAATATCTGGCGCCCGGCTCTTTGTCCATAGCCCTGCACACACGATGCCTCTGCTATATCCTTGAAGATTCTAACTGGCTATACAAAAATTACACCTTATCTGATGGGATTAAATTCAGGAAAAGAGTCTAGAGAATAACCGGCTCATGTGACTTGTAGCCTTCAGTTCTATTGAAGGGTTACTTTGCATAGGTACATATCCACATAGCATTGACTATCGCAGAGACGAGATGATCATTTAACTCCAAATTCTTGAGACAACGGGAAGACATACTTTCATTATCTATGTTGATTTTGGTAACAGGAGTACCCTGAATACTCGGGTCCGGGTGACGTCGATTATGTTACTTTTGAGCCAAATACGGGTAAGGGGAGAAAACCATCGATTTTGAGAATGTTTTAGTACTTGGTGATTCTTTGAGGGTGGTCAGAGGGGCTGGGATTCTAGGAGCAAAATAATCAGCTCTTTAGGCAAATTCGGCATGTTCCAAAGAGATTTAAGACACTGATAATATTCAGTACAGTAATTTTCCTACAGTTAGATTATGGAATGGGGAGTAACAGGAAATGTGAGGATAGTACACGATTTACGTAGATAATTGATTATCTCATACCCCTTAACGTTGGCATACATACCGTCAGATTAGTTTCGAGATTGAAATTATGACACGAGCCTAGAGGCTAAGATAACTACGGCAACGTACGCTGGATATTGTCAATATATCATATGGGGATATGAAGCCTCGGAATACTTAAGAAACTAAAGATCCGTTTTTATGCCATCGTTGACTCTGGAAAGAGTTATGCTCACATGATAATATCGACAACGCCCCGTGCAGCTAGCCCATGGAATCTGAAAATGTAAGGAGGTGGGTTTATTTTGATAACTCCATATTCCCACGTAAGATATCGGTTTAATGCACTAGAACAGACCTCTAAAAACCTGGTTTGTCCGCGAGTTGGTAAAGACTCTAAGACGAAGACACTGACCATTGGTTAGAGCTACATAGCTGCAAATGGATAAAATATTGTCTCTCGACGTCTGCCGCGCTACTTATTGAATATCACCACGCATCGGATGGGATTGGCCGCGCAATCTTTACGCTCAGCGCGCTTCGTGCGGCAACAGTCAATTTCTAGATTAAAATCGCAAGTGTTAACGATAACGGCAGTCGGCAAAGAAGAATTAGTCACCTATCAGCGGCGCCGGTGCAGATGCTTCGCAAGCTCTACATGTGCGAGATAGCCAACCAGAACCACATCTGGCTGAAGTCGAAAGCAGACGCGAGTTAGTCTCGCATCGACGACTTGGCAGTTTCCCTCTCACCATTCTAGCGCGGGACCTCAGACTCGGCTTCTCTACTGGCCACTGCGCCTCAGCGGCTAATTAGGACTTGCCTCAATCGCAAGCAGGGCCGAGTCCCATAACCATCGGCCATCTCTCACTACGAAATCATGAGGCCACTCATTCACGCTCGCAGGAGAATATTTCGTGACATGCAAAGATCGAGTCTCGGCTTGTGGGCGATCGCTGCTCTCGAGGCAGCACAGGTGGCTTGGAGATGGATGAGGTCATCGATGGACACTTCTGGTCTGACTTTTTGGAGGGCTTTCGACTCAGAAGTGACTGTTGGCGGCAAGGCTACGGGTTTGCGTGGCTAGCCAGGACTTCTATTGTCGATGAGTCCACGATACCCCCTAGACGGCAATCACACTCTGTCAAGAATTATCTGAAATTTCGTCGCGACCCTCGGGAAAGAGTTGAGAGGAGACTGGAAAGGCAGCAACCGGCTTTCTTTAGGTAAACACAGGTCTACAGCACCCAGCTGGCCGGCATCTTCAAGTTCTTCAAAAGGGTCAGTGTGTCTTCGGATTTAGTCCTAATATCGGTACTAGGAGAGCCTCGCAGCCAGCGGATTGTTTCAAATTTTCTCAGCTATCAAACACTCTCGACTGAAAGTAGTTTGACTTTCTGGAGAGGGGGAATAATGAAGGGCAAATACTTCTAAGTTAATGATTAGATGAGGAATTGTGAGGAGTGGTACTGTTTCAGGGGAGCTGTAAATGAAGCGTAAGAGGAGATGTACTACCAGATAGGTATTTTGGCCCGTAAGCAGAGAACACCTATGTCTTACATAGATTAGGATCCAGAAAGAATGATAATCTACAAATATAATGATTACTTAAGTTTACAGCGAGAAATTTACTCACTCCCAAAAACCTATCTGCGTTTGAAGATTGTACATTGTGAATACTACGTCAAATTTTATTTGTTGAGAAGTAATATGCAGTTCCTTCATATTTGCAAATTTTGTTACCTGATAATGGACTGCCGAAGCCGTTATTTAAACCAGAGATACCTTCGGTAGGCCAGTGTTAACTCTAGTTAGATTCCATCATAATCAATTTATCCAAGTCTTGTGCTAGACAACTTAGCTTCGGACTTACAGCTTCATTGCTCTTCAACGTCAGTATCGCTCCTCTCTGTGCAATTTCGATGAGTTTCTCCCCCACACTCAATCCTTTGCTTAGTCCAGCCATTAAAACTCCTAAAAAGGTATCACCAACTCCATTTACACTCACAATATCTGCGGGATCAACCTTATCAGCTGCTGGAAATAACCGCAAGTATACACCGCCAATATTTAAGTGGCATTTGGTTGTGCGGCCGAAAATCCATCGGGCATGCTCTGGGTCTTTTAACCTTGAATCATCAACCATTAATAGTTCAGTAAGAAGAACTCCTTCTGGACCTAATTTAGTGAGAAGCATTGGTATGTATGGTAAGAGCTTAATAGATTTTTGGGGAAGGCCCTGATCTGTGAGCTTCTTCCCTACAATCGCTTGTAATTTCTCTTGAGTCTGTGCACCAGATATTCCAAATCCATCAAGAACAGACCAATAGTCATTAGTCTCCAAATAGCCTTCCTCTACTGCAGCACGATACATTTGATCTAACTCATCTATGTTCGGTGTTGAAAGGTCAATGAGATGTTTGGGGAATACTTTCAACGCCAGAGACAATCCCCCCTCATCTTGAGTTGGATTATTTGCTTTTCGCAAGATATCCGCACCTTTCTTCTGACTAACTGGCTCAAAAGCAATTTTAACCCAGGGGTTTCGAGCGCGAATTGTATACATGAATTCGCGAATTTGTGCCGGATCCCAATTGGCATCGATCACTACCCATTTAGTGAAGCTTGGAATATTGAAACCTAACCGGTGCGAGTTTTGTTTGAATATTTCCATATCACCCATACCCACAACTAAGTCTTTTTTGCCATCATTAACGGCGATATATTGAGCAGTACGATTCTGGATTTTAACCTTGGACCTATAAGCTGTGGTCGGAATGACAAGAATACCAGTAGTATCAATATTTTTAGATTGAAGTTGACTTATTACTGACCGGCCAGCTCTACACAAGTTTGATTAGATTAGTTGAATGTAAAGGGGTTGATGGAACTATGACTATGACGTACGAATCATCTGCAACGAAACTGCAGAGTCTGATACGTTGATCTCCGCTAACTTTGTGAGCCGCCACTGCTACATTATGACCTACCCCGCCAATACTATTCCTTATTCGAGCAACATTTGAAGTATGCATTGTAGGCTGCAGGTTCGTGTTGGAATTCGCGCCGGGAATTGGTAATAAGTCGCAAGATGAGTCAATCGCTATAGCTCCGAAGACGATGACTTCGGCCGTTATAGGGGTTTCAGGTTCTGATTCAGATGCATTCCTAGTTTTCATGATGCCCGGATCACTTGAAATGATTCTGTTTGAATCCTTCTTGTAGACATTTTCCGTTCTAGGCCTAGTGATGTCATTTGTTTTCTTCGATGAAGGGTTGCAATCCCCGGTCGCAAGTGAGTCATCTTCATTAACTTTCCTTTCGAGGGAGGCCGAAGTTAACATAGAATCGATTTTGGAGACTTTTTTTGTAAAACCTGTCCTATGTGCAGGAATATTCAAGTCTTTGTCCTGGCTAGGCATACTTAGCATTCTCATTGTAGTCTAAATGTTAGCTAATTACTTACTCAAGTAACGATGCTAGATGAGCTGCTAGCTTCGCAGCTGTTTGTACATTTGATTCGATGAGAGAACGGTTTGCCGGTAAGCTGCGACCATTGGTAATATCCTTGATTCGTGCCAAAATAAATGGAGTGTTTGCATGTCCGTGAAAGCCTCTTTCACTTGCTTCTTGTACAGCTTGATTTATTGCCTCGCTGATTTCTGCTTTCGGGATTGAAAATTCTTCTGGAATAGGATTGGCAAAAAGTGTTCCACTATTGAAATTTAGGTTACTTGTGATACCCATTCTGGTTTGGGCGACTAGTTTGATTAGTTTGATATCAAATTTATTGTGAGTAGGACTTACGCACAATTGCGGCAGCTTCTCTAAAGTCCTGAACTACCATTGGGCTCTTCACTCCGCTCTCTCGCGCGTAGAATGCCGGGAATTCCACGTCACCGATTCGGCCTTGTGAAAAGGTGGCTACCATAGTTCCTTGTGTTTCAAGGAATTCAAGTGTACGTGGTATATCCAAAAAGCTCTTACAGCCACTACAGACGACTGCAATTGGAGTTCGGCCTAGTTCGGTGAGATCAGCTGATACATCCATAGAGTCCTGTCCTCCACGGTGAACACCGCCGATACCACCAGTTGCGAAAACACGTATTCCAGCCCAGTGAGCTAATATCATGGTGCTTGAAACAGTTGTCCCGCCATGGATTAGACGTCCTGCAATGCCCTTCTCAAGGATTAATTTAGTGTAAAGAGGGTTTATTATCGTCACCCACCATTCCGAGAATATAAGGTAGGTCCCGTCTAGATATCTTCATAGTATCTGGCTTGGCAGCCGCGCCACATAGAATAGTTAACTCCTCGTCGCTGAGTCCAACAGTTGCAACTCCATTGACAACCCCGACAGTGGCTGGGATAGCTCCATGTGAGCGAACTAAGTCCTTAAGGTGTAAAGCTAGCCGAAGGTTGTCTGGATTTGGCCAGCCGTGGGTATATATCGTAGATTCCAAGGCCACAATCGGTTGACCCTCGTTAAGAGCAGTATTAACTTCTTCGCTTACATTGATAAACTTTCGGCCCAGGATGTTGATGGAATATTCTCTCGTCCATTTACAGAAACCCAGAAATCGAGCAGTGCAAGGCTTAAGTAAAAACCTCGCTGTAACGATGCGATTCATGGCAGAAACCTGTTCACCGTCAACGGCGGGCCCATGGACTTAATTAGGACCTCGCGCTTATCCTGCTTACTTAATAAGTCGTTACCGCATGTTCACATGGCTAATTCGCGTAGTTTGTTGGCGTCTCCAAACGACATGATATCTATTGACGTTAAATAATTATAATAGACATGATATCTATGATAAGGTTAAGTACATGTATGTGGATCATTTAAACCTAATATCGTAGATAAGTGAGCATCAACGAGAATCATCGCCTGTTGTCACATGGAAATATCCTTATGAATTTCTCATATGGTTAAGAAAATAATCCAGACCACCTCTTCAAATATAACGAAAGAAAATCTCTTACTCTGCTTTCTGTTAGAACGCGTCACGCCTGAAGGTATCCTTTGGGCCAGGAGGAGATTCAGGCTATCTGGTTTTGCTCTGGCTCACAAAAATTCGCCAAATAATCCCTTCTTGTAGAAGATAATTTGTTTTAATTACTGTTAGGTGGGGTTATGACTAATTCTTATTCTTCCTTAGCCTGAAATCCTCCGAATTCCTCTTAAAGATGATGCTAAATGCTGGAAAACTTTTTAACCATCTGTGAGGCACACGAGAAGTAATTGATGGATGGGAATTTGCGTTATTTGCATAGGGCTGCCTTAGTGGAGGACATAACTTATTTTCCATCGTTGGGTACAATAGCCGGAGCTTAAAGTCCAGTATATGTGAGGAGCTGATATTTGTGGATAAATTGATGTCTGCGACTCATCTAGCTCAGGTTTAGCCTCTGGAACACTACAATCATAGAAGCTTTTCAATGTAGGAACAATTTAAATCCAAAATCAAATAAACTCAAATTACTGTGCGATGAACGCCTTTCCGACTCAAATTTCTTCATGTCATGCCATGGACGATTACAAATCTATCTGGTTCTTGCTATGAGTAATTGACGAGCTATCAGTATCGTTATCGGCACACCTGGCTTCCTCCGAGTGTTGATAAGACCATTGAGAAAGGTTGTGGGTAAACTTTTGTAATGCAGTGACCTCCTAAGCTCACGCGCAGGCCACAGTGAATGAAATGGATTAGAGTAGTTTCACTCCCACGGGCACACGGTAGAGGCGTGTTTCACGCATTCAATGGACGGTTGGACGATTGGTTTGTGGTTTTATTGTGCTGCTTGTGTCGATAACTATCGAACACATTAAGATCCTCTGTAAACCAAGCCACATCTTTTATATTGTTACCATACTCATTTAATACGATAAAATATATCTGATATAATGCCCATAATGGAAAGCCATTCATCTCATTGTTCAACCGTAGAATTCGGTTACCTTTTCTAGAAAGGATTTTTTTTTTGCATCAGATTTTAATTGCGTATGCAGCTATCTGGCTATGAAACAATACCAGAGAAAAATACATAATGGATGACACAATATAAAGGAGGAGTACTCATGCCTCGGATTTCATTTGTAGGTACCACTGCGAAGTTATGCCGACTTTTTCATCAGCCCAAGTCAACCCTCATCCGTGAATACCCACCCAGGGGAACGTCTCAAAAACCCTGAGTTATCCAGACATGCCTCCATCATCCGTTCACATTTCTCCGCGCGAAATGTGGTCTTAGATGTCTCCTTCCCAAGTGGAGTAGGTGCCCAGGCTACTCAAACTATACCGGAGAACACCACCAGGAGGCGGTTCACAACCCCTTCCATCGTTTGCTTGTCTTTATAGTGTGAGCTGCACTCTCGCAAGCGAAGTCTTGGCGCGCACAAAGCCCAATTCTTGAACTCCTTGCCAAAATTCAAAAATCACACGCCCGTCGAGATTATATCCTTCCTTTGTATCATCTTGTGAACTTGTCCTGCTCTCTTTCACGTCCATCCCAAAGAAATGTCTCTCGGGTTTTTGCGCCACGCTTTGCTTCCTCCGTCGAGTGTAAATATCGGCGTGAGCGTGTGGTCATTGGGATGAGGATGTACTTGGACTCCTACTTAAGCCTCATCAAGTCTAATAGTACGACCAACTCGTTGGGAACGAAAAAACGACGTGGTGGAGTATTTTAAATGATTGCCTCGTGGGCCAACTTCTTTAATATTGCGAAATTTAACTGAACTTGGCTCTGGGAGAATACTAATTGGCTGCACCTGCATTCTACTGTTTGTATTATTAGCGCTCATCATGTTTTTATCTCGTGTTTAAAATTAGATAACACAGTATGTCTGTAAGACGGGATTGTGAGATTACGTGGTAAGGACTATGGAAAATGACTGAAGAAAGACGAGCGAACCTGTACTCAAATAGAATTGGGTTAACGGGGGAGAGGGGCGACCAATCATCTTTTTCATCTTTTCTCTCTAAGGAAAAATCCATGTCCCAACTCTGTATCCAGATGGATAGTGGTACAGCTTCAAATAAGATAGTTTGGGGGCTACCCCAAGGTTTCATCAAATGCATATGAGGTCAATAGATATCAGCATGGGCCAATCACACGTCAAATTAGGCAAAATGAGTTCGAGTCCAAATAGTGAGTTGTTTACTGGAGGTTATAGAGTGCAGACATTTTATTCTGACACTTGACAATATATGCCAGTCGAGCGATAAGGTATCATCCCTTGCTAACATGTACGCCATATTCGTCAATTTTAGTGTGAAATATTTGGCCTGCCAGCTTCAATTCTATTCTCGATATCAAAAGGCAAAGTTTGGTCCAGGATACGTAGTTTCACGTGGCCAGCAGGCAGATGTGATCCGATGGCCGGATTTCGGAAAAAGGGCCTTTGCACGATGCAGCCGGGTATTTTTCTACTATCCGAGTAGCGAGTGGTGACATCTGTTATTCCCACTTTGTTTTGATGTGGGCTAGCCGGTCTTACTGCCAAGCTATTTTTACGTGATAATTCGCCTCAATCTAAAAGATTGGCAAGAAACTTTAGAAACTCTCTATCATACTACTCGACATAAACATGCAGTGACACAGCCTAACGTCTTCATGTAACTAAACTCGACCATCAACATGTCGAATTCAGAAGCGTTACGTCTCGAAATTCAAATCCGCAAGCTACGGAATACTGATGCAAGGAGCCAAAACCTGGCTCTTTCAATATCCCTTAACCCTTTTCATACCAATCCTACTGCAATCTATTCAACCTGGACCTCATATCTTCGTGCAATTGCCGCTTGCGATCCCCTCTAGAAATCAAATGAAGTTTACGTTTGATTCATACTAAAATTAACTCCTATCGTTTTGTTACTTGGGTCCGTAAAAGGCCATGATCACGATGAAATATTGCCGATCCTTTCGGGATGCAGGCACAAGCAGATTAGTTCAAATCCCCATCATAGTAATAGCGGTAGTTCCGGAAATTTTTACAAGCGAATTCATGTACATTTATGTAGAGCTTAATCTTGTGAATTCATTGTCGCCATGTACTTCGGTAGTCTTCCCGGGCAAGAAAGTAGGCAACAGCGAGGGAATTTAGAAGGATCCGTTCGGAACAGGATTAGCTTGTGAGGCTATGTTGTCGAGTTAGCCGTGCTTGAGGTAACGCTTCAAATGCTTGATTGACATTTTGCGCTCGCGTGGGTTACGGATGGTTAGGAATGCTTAGTCAACGAATTCCCAGCCACATGATAGAGCCGAAACAATGTAACCAGGCTTCCATAATATCTCTCGATCATTGCTGGTCGCTATAACTATGAGAGTATCCGAAAGGTTTGTGTGAGATCAACTAAGTGAGTTCGCACTAGATGCTAGCGCTTCACTTTTTACACATGGCTTGGAAGTCCTTTAATCAGAGACTTGACACCAATGATCACTATTCAAAAATTGCCTAATCGCTCGTTTTGTACTCCATTCATGGTTTGATGTCGAAAGTAGTTTGAAGTGCGTCAGAGAGAATTTGTCATCCGTTTCAAGTTATTAATTCCAATCGGAGCCTAGATCATGGAAACAACTCATGATCCTGAGTATCAACGGGTAGATACAACCCCCACGCGGTCCACCAAGAATTCTGGAGAATCATGGACCGCTGCGTTAAAGCAACAGCCGGCTCCTGCTACTACTTCCAAGAAGAAGAAAAGACACAACCACCGAGGTGGTAAAAAGAAGCGATCGCGGGGTCAAACCTTCCCTGCTGAGACAGAGAACAGCAGTAGTAACCTGGAAATTCCAAAGTCTGCTCTAGTAGACAATGTTCAGAATGCTGTCAGGGAGAGTTTTTTTCGAGTCCAAGGAATCACCCGAAGGAGTACCAGTGCCGAGATCGAAGGACTTATAGATCATAGGTAGGTCAGACTCTAATATTGTCTCTCTCTCCAACTAACTGGACCTCTTGATATAGAGATCAATCGAGCTTTAGGCCGAGAAGAGCGTCTGCTATGGGACAAAGTGCTTTTGGCGTTCCACTTTACGAAAACTCTACTTCATATCGAATGCAGCAAAATGCCTTCGGTACTATTGGTAGCGGCAATAACAGTTCACATGAAGATGAAAGAATACCTCTCGTCAGCACGAGAAATGCAGCCGCTATGGGATACGGTATGTATGGAATGGAACAACCAGCCAGGAGTAGAAAAAACTCGCATCTTAGGCACTCGAGCCATTCTTCAACCAATAGTAAGCGACGGCCAACTATAGATAAATCTAGTCCAGTACTTGAACCACATCTAGAGGAATACAACGTGAATTATCCGCCTTCAATTCCAGACAGTCCAACTCAGAAGCCCAACCAAACAATCACTTTTAGCGATATTCTGGTAAGAGATGAAATTGGGCCTACACGGGCCTCACCCGGTAATATTTTGGATGAAATTAGTGATCATGCTATAATTGATGACCTTATCGAAGATTCGCCACGCCGGGGCATGGGATACGAACATCGGAAAAATAACCCTCTCCATGCTGATGAGGACGCATGCTTTTCTGTCGAAGGGATGTCTGACATGGGAGAAGAGTATATGCGTCGAGAAAATGATATACTTAGACGTTCTAATGGTGCCCGGAGAAGACGAGGAAAGTGGCCCGACCTATCCGCACTCGAGGAGTGGAGCAGGTTAGAGAAAGAGGGAAAAAATGAAGAACGACGAGTCAAGAAAATCACTGAACCACAACTGATCGGCGGAAGATTACGCCCTATCCACAGGAGTTGGCATCGTGCAGAAGATGATGCCCCATACCGTTTTACTTACTTTAATGAACAATTGCAGAGTACAATACACAGTCAAACAATCTCCGAGTTACTTCAGCCAGGAGGCGTTTTTCGCGAGTTATTTAATCCAGATCCGCCTGAATTGAGTGATAGTTCGGAATCTGGAAGTGATTTTGAAGTATCTAGAAATAACAGCGTAACATGTGACTATAGTGGGCTACAGGATGAGTTGGGAGTATCTCCGCTGACATCAGTTCTACCACCCCCCGCACAGCCTGATCAAAAGTCACATTCCTGGTTAAAAGAAACCCTGAATGGAACAGATTGGGCACGAAATTACAAAGAAAACTCGGGTACCTCTAGTCCCGCTGGTACGAAGGTGCCATTAGAACCAATCAAAGAAAATTCCCCGAAACCAAAATCAGAAAAACCAAAGAGATATGGGAATAGACCAACATGGTGGCTAGATGTGCTTTCGCCAACTGATGCCGAAATGAAGGTACTCTCCAAAGCATTCGGAATTCATCCCCTAACCGCCGAAGATATCCTACTTCAAGAAGCGCGAGAAAAAGTCGAACTTTTTCACAACTACTATTTTGTTAATTACAGATCTTTTGAGCAAGATACAAACAACAAGGACTTTTTGGAACCCGTAAATATGTATGTAATTGTATTTCGAGAGGGTGTGATCAGCTTTCATTTTTCATTGACACCACACCCTGCAAATGTTCGCCGTCGAATTCGGCAGCTCAAGGATTACTTAATTCTATCCTCTGATTGGATCTCGTACGCAATTATAGATGATATAACAGATGTTTTTGCACCCTTAATTCAAAGTATCGAAGATGAAGTCGACGATATCGATGACGCCATCCTCATGCTACACGCTCCTCTCTCTGAGTCCAAATCAAAGAAAGGTGATGAAAAAGGCTCGGAATCTGGTGACGCTACCATTGTGGAGAGCGGTGGCGATATGTTACGACGAGTGGGTGATTGTCGAAAAAAAGTAATGAGTTTATATCGGCTTCTGGGTAACAAAGCAGACGTTATTAAAGGCTTTGCTAAGCGATGTAATGAGCATTGGGATATTGCACCTCGTAGTGAGATTGGGTTATACTTAGGAGATATCCAGGATCATATTGTGACCATGACTGGGAATTTGTCACATTACGAAAAGTTTGTTATCCCGCTCATGAAAAATTTAACCGCTAACCATTGGTAGGATCCTGGCTCGCTCCCATGGTAATTACCTCGCTCAGATTAATATCAGAATGAACGAAAGACAAGAGCAGACAGCAGATGTACTTGGAAAGCTCACAGTTTTAGGAACTATTGTGCTGCCCATGAATATTATTACCGGTTTATGGGGGATGAATGTCTGGGTACCCGGCCAACAGGCGGAGGGTGACCTAACTTGGTTTTGTTGCCTTTCAGCTGGACTGATCTTCTTTGGCTTGAGTTGTTTTATGATTGCCAAGATTCTCTATCGGATAGTTTGAATCAAAGTAGAAGGGCTAGAAAATATTTGAATTGATGCTCATGTGGATCATAAAACTCTCAGCTAGAGTCTAAAACACCACAAACTCAACCACCTTGCAAGTCGATCAAATGCCCCACCATTTTAAAGCCCACACAAGGCTCTCACAATCTAAAATTGGGAGTTGATATGCTCTACCAATAACATGAAGTCGCATGGAAGGGATCTAAAAAGAGCAGCTCAAACATTACCATGTACTGGCTTTGGCCACTCGAATGCTATGGGCTTGCTCGTGGAGGTTAATACGCCAACTGCTCAAAGATATTCGGGTTAAACTTATTAGAATGTCCTGGTACTCCTAGGACGCAGATTCAAGCCGGCTATCTTGAAGAAATTACGTACGAGACCTTTAGCTTAGTTCACTGGGCCATGTAGTCTTAGAGTCGCAAAAGAAATTAAGTCTACCAAAAAGCCTTAATTTATTGGTTGTTTCTTTAATGTGCGAGGCATAGGCCCACATTTGATTTGACAAAGCGCGGGCATTTGATTTCAAAAGACTCTATACTACTAAAATGAACAATTCAAAAGTAGTAGGAAAAACATGAAAAGCATATTTCTAGCTTAGTTGCCCTGCGCCTCGCCTGAATTCTCCAATATTTTCCACTAACAGGTCCATTCTTATGTCAACACCTTTACTTCCGCATATTTTTGCTGTAATGACCAAAGTCATTTTCTCATATTTTCATCCATCGGAGCAGACTTGGTGTGTCCTATATTTGAAGTGCCGGTAGCTCTATCCGAAGTTGTAGCCTTGGTACCTAAAAGTACCCCTTGAAAACTCTTGAAAAATGTGAGTCCCAGTATGCACACAAAATATCTTTTTCTCTCATCTTATGTCCCAGTAGCCTATCCTCCCTCGAGCCGTATGGCCCCATCATAGCAACAGTCCCTCATAAAAGAGCAAAGACTGAACACCTGCCCATAGTATCCTCTACTAAACCGTGAGTGAAATACTCTCCCAGGGCTAATTTCAATCAAAATTCACAAAACCAAAGAAGTTGGCCCACGAGGCAATGATTAAATACTCGACCAAATAAATTTCTCCCACTCGACGAGATCGATCCACAGCAAAACCTCATCAAGCTTACAGAAACGACTTAGTACATCTTTGCTTCAACGACTACAACTCTCTTTGACCTTCTCTAGCCTCAGCTGACTACCAAATACACGCCAGTGCCGATATTTATACCCGCCAGAAGAAAAAATCTTAGCGCACAAATCTGGGAGGCAGATCTTCGGAATAGACGTGAGAAATATTAGGACGAGTGCACAAGATTATGTAAATGGTAATTACAATCTCAAAAAAGGTGAGATTTCGAATTGTGGTGAGGAGTTTTACAAGTTTAGCTTTGTGCGCTATACGACTTCAATTGTGAGAGTGCAGGCGACACCATAAACACTGCCATGATTGGATGGTGCGATGGTACATCATCTTGGCTGGTCTCTCAAGTAAGGTCTGGATAGCCAGAACCTCCCTTTAGACGGGATATCGCTGGTTCGAATCCGACAAAGCTTAACTACATTTCTCGCGGCTCCAATACACTTGGATAATCAAAAGTTTTGAAATGTCCCTTTGTTGGATACTTAGGGAGGAGAATCGACTGTTTGCGTGAGCAAATATACCTCATAGCTGTATTTCTGAGTGAAATCCAGAGAATTAGTATCTTTAACGTTAAAAGAACCACCCTACATGCACTTCGAGCACTAATCATGTTTCATAGCTAGAAAGCTGAAAACACGTTGAATGGTTAAAAAACAATCCCCCAACATGTTAGACCCCGAGCTTTGTAAAATATGACTTCTTTCCACTTTGTGAGTATACGTAGCCTCGTACTTTTGATATTTATGTTTTTTGTTTAAGATTTTACGTATGCAGCTATCTAGCTAGACCACGAAGTGAGAGGACGGCAGAGAGGCAGGCTTGGGAATATGAGATAGATTGGCTATGGAAGGACAAACATGATTAACTACAGCGAGTTCTGTGTACATGAGACACATGTGTTCGCTGAGTATTGCCAATCCAGTTTTGGCATTCACGTCACGTATAAATGCTTTGTGCTCAAAGACTTACGCTGTCTCGGTGATTGCATGCGTTGAGCCTTGGTCGCGTAATTAGCTATGACACAATATCAGAGGAAAAGTGCAGAAAAGATGACTCAATTTGAAATTAGAGCACTCATGCCTCTGATTTCCTTTGCAAGTGCCACTGCGGAGTTATGCCGACTTTTTCATCAGCCCAAGTCAAGCCCCATCCGTGAACATCCACCCAGGGGCTAAGATTGATGCTGGGTATAGTGAGAGGTCATGTTATTGTCCTGTCTGAATCTATGACTATGTAGGACAAATAGGTCTTTTCTGCCTACAGGCCAAGGATACCTATACCAGTAGTATATCCCCTCCCATGCCTCCTATACAGCTCCCCTCAAACAGAACCACTCTTTACAATTCCTCATCCAATCATAAATTTAGAGGATCCCTCAGCCCTTCACTACCTCCCATCTCCAGCCAGCAAAGCAATGGCTATTAGTGGGTGTATGGCAGCCGGGAAAAATCGCAAAAACCACTGGGTGTGGAGTTCTCCTAATATCGACAATAGGACTAAATCCGAAGACATAGTGACCCTTTTGAAGTGTTCGAAGAGACGGCCAACTAGGCGCTGCAGACTTGTGGGTGCCTCGGGAAATTCACACTCTGCTTTTCTAGCCTCCTTCCAACTCCATCCCGCTCCTTCCCCAAGGTCGGGCTGCAATGTCAGAAAAGTATTGATAGAGCGCGATTGCTGTATGGTAGCCTAGCCCAACTCCCTTTGAGCCGTTGACTCATCCACAATAGATGTCCGGGCTAATTTGCCGAAATCTCGGCCTTGGCACCTACGAATGTTCCACAGTCATAATTGCCAGTCCCCGAACGGCCACGCGTAGTTACTCTCTCTCTCAGGATGTATAACCCTATGAGAGCAAAAGTCCCACGTAAACCATGACCCGAGCTTTGTATATTGCGACTTAACTTCCTCCTTGCGGGTATACGTAGCATGATAAACTTTCAGTGGGTGATGGCCGGCCACAATTTAGGCCAGCTCCTGATTGCCATTTGAGTGACGCCTTTACCTGTAGTTAAGACGAAGTAGTGTGTGGTAAGATTGGTTTGGACGACTCGCGTGAGAATCATGAGGTCTATGTGGATGAGAAGTCGCAGGTTATAGATGTACATGTTTTACTTTCTACTTGCATCCGGATCTCATCCCTCTAGACTACATAAGCAGTACAGAACAAACTGAGCGGCGGGGCAAGATTCAAAACCTAAACGCAGTGTCTTCTACGAAGCTAGGAATGAAACGTTCTTCCCGACCCAAGTTCAGTCAAATGTCGCAATATCAAAGAAGTTGGCCCGCGAGGCAATGATTCAAAATACTCCGTCGTGTCAATATTTAGCTCCCAACGTAATTGATTCCTACCTAAGCCTCATCAAGCTTACAGGTACGACTTAGCACATCTTTACTTCAACGACAACACCTCTCTTTGACCCTCTCTGGCCTCAGCTGGTCGCCAAATACATGCCCACGCCCATTTTTACACTCGACGGAGGAAGCAAAACTTAGCACACAAACTTGGGAGACAGTTCTTTGGGATGGACGTGAGAGGGATCTGCACAAGTTCACAAGACGATGCAAAGGAAGGATACAGTCTCGACGGGCGTGAAATTTTTCGTTTTGTCAAGAAATATTACGAATTGAACTTTGTGCGCGCCAATACTTCGCTTGCGAGACTGCAGCTGACACTATAAACGCAAGTAAACGGTGGAAGGTGTTGTGGTCCGTCTCCTGGTGGTGTTCTCTGGTATGGTTTGAGTAGCCTGGGTACCTACTCCACTTGGGAAGGAGACATCTAAGACCACATTTCGCGCGGAGAAATGTGAACGGATGATGGAGGCATGTCTGGATAACTCAGGGTTTTTGAGACGTTCCCCTGGGTGGGTATTCACGGATGAGGGTTGACTTGGGCTGATGAAAAAGTCGGCATAACTTCGCAGTGGTACCTACAAATGAAATCCGAGGCATGAGTACTCCTCCTTTATATTGTGTCATCCATTATGTATTTTTCTTTGGTATTGTTTCATAGCTAGATAGCTGCATACGCAATTAAAATCTGATGCAAGAAAGCTTTACCGTGAAGGCGAATGCGACGTCTACCAACACGACCACTCGAGCCTAATATGTCTCGGCTGTGTCCACTTAGCAAACTTGTGTGCGAGTTGAGGGTTAGATGGTGTAGTGATATTCTATTCGAACCGTCCTCCCAAGTAGATACTGGGTAGCTTGAACACCTACCCCATTCGAGACAGGAGAAAGCTGGTTCGAATCCAGTAAAACCCACACACCACTTTCTCCCGCAGTGGTATTTTATTTGTGGGATCATGAAAGCATACTCGGATAACCATAGAGTTTTCACGCTTCTCTCTGTGGTGGGTATGCACGGAAGAGGTTGTACACCGTGAGGGTTAACCTCGAGTGGTATCTGCAAATGAAATCTGAGTGTGAGTGTTTTTTTTTTTTTTTTTTTTAAAAATCATTGAGTGTATGCAGCCTAACTAGCTATGACACTATTCAAATTGAGTTATCCTGGTTAGAGCGCACATCTTCCAATAAATCTCGCACGGGCCTCAGGGCGCCAAATCAAGAGTTTGAGTTTGATTGCTATTCGTATCAGGCATGTGCCCTACACCCAATGGGCGTGGTACGGGTATATGATCTATACAGACTCACTACTACCTACGTGCATGGCTTTACTTGCCGAAGAACGCCAAATCAAGAGGATATATGAAATATTTATTTGCTGTTCGCACGGGCGAAATCTTGACAAATTGCCCAAAAAGTATCTTCAGGCGCTTTTCCGCATCCGGGAATCGAACCCGGGGCTCTCCGGTGAAAGCGGAGTATGTTAACCCCTACACTAATGCGGATCTGATCTTTTGAGAATAGAATTAAATATATAGTGCAAATTTATTAACTAGATTCATAAGGCAACATTACAATAATATCTATTTCGGTCTTTTTCTACAAATGATCCCAAAATTTCGTCTTTTAGAGTTGGTATACTCCATCCTACATCAAGATCCAGCTGCGGCCAGCCGTTGACATTATAAACTGACATTATTCATTACTCCAAGATCAATCTACTTACACCCACATGTGAAATTTCGTGAAATAATGGCTAACATCTGGATCTTTTTGCCGATCCACGGTTAAAGATATCTGTTTGCTTATTTCGCTTGTTAAGTGCAATTTTTGCGTTTGCTGTAGTAGATGGTATAGAGGCCTTCGATCCAACGACACCAGTGTCATTGTTAGAAATCGACATTTTCTGAGGGGTTTTTTTGGTAGCTAACGAGGGAGACGAAGCTACCTTACATCCAGCGAGGTTGCTCAGGTTTCTCTGGTACATTGCGCGGGATGATGGTGTAGCAGCTATGTTCGGAATAGTAGCAGTGGTGAGTCTCGATGGCATCCTAGAGACAGTATTCTTTTTCGTAGATAGTATAGCAGCTTGCGTATGTTTTTTTTGGCTAAGAGTTGCTGAGCTAGATGGACTATCGTTAAATAGCTCATCAGCCTCTTCAAACTCGTCTTCTGAATCAACATAATTTGGCTGGGCCCCATGTGCGTTGGAACCGGCAGTTAAGGATCGGAGGCGATTTTCCCGATCTTCAAGAGCTGTATCCTTAATTCCGGGGGTTTGAGAATTCATTCGACGAGAGAGAATCCGGATGGCTGGCTGGTTGGCTGTTCGATATTCCTTTACCATCGCGGCAGGGGCTTTACTGACACGTCCTATGCTTAGTTGATGCGTTGGACGGCTTAGCTTACCCATTTTAGCGATTTCTTTTGCCTCTCTTCTAGCTCTAGTGAGAACACTCTGTCCATCATTCATTTTGATTTTGCTTGCTGCAGCAAATCTCAGCGTACTTGGTGTCTCTTTTTTAAAACTAGACCTTGACAGAGGTACTCCTCCATTATTGGCCAGCATTCTTGGATCTCTTGGTAGCTTCGGTAGACTCCCAAGGTCTACGACTTTTGACAGATTATTGTCGCGTGCCTTTTTTATTCCCATCATCGTCTCCCTGAGTGTTTCTTCATCCCGCTTGATTTCTTCGGCTTGTTCCCGCTTATAACGTTTGTAAACCTCATACCATTTTAGAGGATTCTTGGGCGCATAATTTTTTGCCGCCCATTTCGGAACTTCCTTTGCGATAAATTTTTGCCAGAGTTCGGCATCTAGCCCTTTGATCTGCGGGCTTTGTTCCTCAATTTGATGAAGTTGCTCCGGAGATCTGAGGAAGGATAGGATATCTGATATTTGGTTGTATTGAAGGTCTCCGACATCAGTAAACGCTGTGGCTTGTTAGAGAGTATCGGATCAAAATTTCTGCCAACACACAGTGAACATTTTTTATGCAGGCCTTCCTACAGAGACTTAGGAGTGAAGGAACTGGCATTGAGTCTATATCAAATTTGCGCTGGGTAACGAGATAAGTGGTGACCTGAAATGGGCGAGCTCTTCTGACAAGCCTTCGAGATCTTTGCTAGATGTGATGAGTATAGTTTAATACTACTGAAATTATTAGTGTAACTAATGTCTTGACACCAAAAGATGGGGAATCCCTCGGAAAGGTGGGCTGCAACTCATAGCATCAGGCGACGTCAGCGATATGCACTAGCCTAGTTCAAGGCTGGATGCACGGACTCCTGATTATTAGCTTTTCGAAGTCAAGGGCAAACATTCAGACGACTAGGGCATTGATTGATACACTTCGCTCTTGGATAATCTTCAGAATCGACTATATGGCTTCCTTTCAACTGCTCGAGCCTCGCGAGGAAGATGAGCTCCACAAGTTGCGATTGCTTAACGTTGAGGAAAAGCCATTCAAACGGATCTCCAGACGTCTTCTAGCTCCTTCGTCTCTCCTAACAACTCCATTGAAGTTGCCTACACCGCCACCAGATACTTTTTCAAATGACTCTGAGAACCATGACTTAAACCAAGAAAAAGTTAATGATGAACGAAGACAATTTAAGGAGGATATTCTATTTGATTTTGGAGCTTTCAACAATTCTCTCATACGAATTCAATTCTTGCAAGACAGTAATAAGCGCGAGCGCCAAAGATATAAAGCTGACAAGGAGCGTATACTAGAAACAGCCCAGCAAGTCAGGGAAAATACAGTACAATTAAGAATCCAGCTGGAAGAGGCGAAGCAAACCCTGGAGCAGCGCAAGAAATTTGATGAACTAGCTGAGAAAATCACTGGAAATAGATTGTTACGACCTAGAGAGGACCAGTTAGCAAACTTGCGCAAGCTAGAAGATGAATGTAGAGACCTTGAGCGAGAGTGCCAAAGCTATAAAATCACATGGGGTGAAAGACGAGAGCAGTTTGGCAGAATTGTAGAAGAAGGCATGCAATTAAGAAGGCTAATTAGAGATGAAAAAGAAGAGGTTGAAAGAAGAGAAGGAATGGCTGAGGATGAAGGAGGTGATGCTGCAAGTGGTGATGGACAGACTCCTAGACACAATGGCAGTAATGGCACACCAAAACATCACAGCGGGAAAATAGACTCTACAGATACCAATTCAGGCTTTAAATCGAAACTAGGAATATCTGAATCTCTATCTCGCCCAGCAAGCAGATCAGATAGTTACGTACCAAGTTTTTTAGGATCAGAAAAACGAGAAGATGAGGCCAAAATCGAAGATTCTATCATGATAGACGCTAGTGGTGTCGTATCCCATGAGATTGAGTCCGAGACAGAAGTAGAAGTCACGAGCAAAGGAGTAGAGGGCGCGGAAAAGATGAATATAGTGTAGCTTGTCATAATGGAGATATCAAGGCTGAATTTCCTTTCGTCCATCCCTCAATTTGTGAGTGCTTATCTACACCTGCAAAGCTATGGCGAGAGGAAAATCTTAGCCATGCTCACTTCTAAAGCTTTCTTCCGGGCGTGGATGTATGCATGCTAATCAACGTAGTGTAGCAGACGCCACTTTTTATTCCATATTTTCGAGCAGCTCCTTTGCTCTTTTAACTTCTATCTCGTCGGCACCAGAATTTTCACCTTCCTCTAGCTGGCGCTTTACATTTTCCTGCGCTTCTAAAATTCTCTGCTTCAGAGACGGAAATACTGCGCGAGTCTGTTCAATAGCCGTACGCTATACCACGGATTAGCCCAATTTCCGATCAATGATGAGTACTGCGAGTCAGGTTTTGGTTCCTACCTCTTGTCTAATATTCCAATCGTGGTTTCCGTCTTCATCAGAACTGTTCGTCAGCTTCTGAAGACGTGCCTCCTGGGCCTTCAGTTCATCATGATATGAAGCCTCTTCCTTAATCAAGCGCTGTAAGGCACCTGTGGCAATGGCAAGCGACGAAGGAGGTGACATTCTTCACAAAAATCTAGTTAACGGTGTTAGGTTAGATTAAAATTAAATTTAGATCGTAGTAGTTAACCTTGTGATGGATGAGAGTATCCTAACTTGATCTCGTCTCTTCACATCTGTAGTCTAGATTTTTGGGCGGGGTGGGAGAACCAAGATTCCTTGAAAATTAGTTATCCACAGCGGGGTACAAAGACCTAACTCCTTACGTGGCAATTCCGAGGTCGTCTATCCCCCGTTTCAAAATCTACAGCCCACAGTACTTCGCAGGCCTTTCAAGTTTGAACCCATTTACCTTTATAACTGTTTAAGTTACGTCACCAAAAGCCTAACAGACGATCACAACATTAACAATGGCGATGGTTAAGAGGCATAAAGGAAGGACGAAAACTCAGTACCTGTCGGTGTTATCTTTTAAAAACCTCCAGCTCTCAATGTAGATTATGCAGAGCCGAGATTGATTAAAGCTTCGTCCACACTTGATGAGTACTCCCAATTGCTCTCGCGGACTGTATTTTCTTCATCTCTCAGCACATCTCCCTAGAACTTCAAATATGAAACCAGCAGCATAGCTACTGAACACCTATTCGTATTATCTACATATCTGGAAACGAAATATTTATCCAGAGCCAATTTCAATCAAAATTCGCAATACTAAAGAAGTTTTGCCACGAAGTAATAATTCAAGAGTCCCTTCCATATCAAACTCTCCCTATCAAAACTTATCAAGTTTATAATTGCGACCTAGTATTTCTTCATGTCAATGACTACACCTTTCATCGACTATTCTTTGGCCTCAGCTGATCACAAAATACACGCCCACGCCGATATTAACACTCGACGGAGGATACAAAGCGTGGCGCACAAATCTGGGAGACAGTTCTTTGGGGTTGGCGTAAGAGGATTCAGGATAAGTTAACAAGATGATGCGAAGGATGGGTACTGTCTTGACGGGCGTGGAATTTTGAACCTTGGCAAGGAGTTTTTACAAATTGAGCTTTGTGCGTGCCAAGACTTCGGTTGCGAGAGTGCAGGCGACACTATAAACACCGCCATGGCTGGATGGTGCGGTGGTACATCATCTGGCCCGGTTTTCCATGTAAGATCTGGATAGCTTGGACACATATCCCACTTGAGACAGTAGATTGCTGGTTCAAATCCAGCAAAACACAACCACATTTCTCTCGGCACTGGTATGCATGGATGACGAAGGCATGCTTGGATAACCAAAGGTTTCGAAATTCCCTTTGGTGGATACTTACGGAGGAGGGTCAACTGTTTGTGTAAGCAAACACACCTCGTAGTGGTATTTGCGAATGAAATCCAGAGTATGAGTGTCTCTAACGTCAAAAGAGTCATCCAGCATGTGTATATAGCACCGGTCATGTGTCATAGCTTTATAGCTGAATACACATTAAATGATTTAAAAAAAAATGAATTAAACCTAGAGTATAAGTGTCTTTAACATCAAAAGAGTCATCTTACATGTAGAGATAACACCCATCATGTGTCATAGCTAGATAGGTAAAAATATATTTAATAATATAAAAAATAGAAAATTCCCGATAGTTCTCGCGGTCTGTATCGTCTTCATTTCTCGACACATCTCCCTATCGCCATTATCATGAAGCAAACCATGATCAGACCAGAGAGTAGAGTCGAAGCCCTTCTCGTCACGCACCCTTGGTCATGGAAAAGCCATACAATGAGTTTGTCAATTATACCCAGCTTTTACGGGATCTAGTGCGTATCTGTCTCAGTCACCGCTGTTAAAAAAATTTGCGGAATCTAAAGAGGCTTACTGAGGAGCTGATGAGGCAGGCCGAAGCATTAAGTAACTTTTGAAATTGACAAAACTGAACTGATACATTTCAGGCGACATAGAAGGCAGCTTACATCTCCTTTGATTCTTGGGAATAGTGTCATCTTAGAGCCGAAGGAGGTTATCAGGGGCCAGTGATCTGGTTTGACAGGAAGCTTAACTTTAAAACCCATGTGGACAAGAGATTACAGCTAGCTCATGGGGCACTCAGCAGGATTAGGATCTTGGCTCCATCCACACGAGGACTTCACTGGAATTTTTTTCGTCAACTGTATCTAAACTATGTCACTTCAGTACTCGACGATGGCTCTGTTCTATGGCATGGTAAGAGGAGGACTGGATCACTAACCGAAAAATGCCAAATGCTTCAACATCAGGCCATGCCAATGATCACTGGAGCTTATCAACGTAGCCCTATGTAGGCTCTATAGGTAGAAGCCTCAATTATGCCGGTCAAAGTCAGACATTAGAAGCAGGTTATCTATTATGGACTGAGGATGCTTAGACTCTAAAAAGACCACAACATACAAGTACACCTGTTCTGTCCTTTGGAAGGTGAATTGACAAGAACCAACAAGATCTATCTCGGATTACTCAGCTTTATCGATAAGCCAGTGACCCAATTAATGAGGATTGGATGCAGCTTGAAGCCCTTTGCTTCTCTCAAGAAATTGGAGCAGCTAAATAGCATCTGGATCCCTCCATGGCTCCAATATCATACTCTAACCAGCATTTCTTCCGAGATAAAAGAGATCACCAAGTTATCACATCTACAACAAGTCAGGAATTTTTGCCTCGATGTAATTTTTTATATCGATGGACCCCTTTCAAAAGAGACAGGGAGCAGTATTGGCTTTTTGGTATACCTGCCAAACGTAAGAGAGATGAAATGTTTCTCATATCACCTAAGTGACACTATGGGTATCACAGACGCCGAGACTTACTGTATATTGAGAGTAATACAATATGTGAAGAGACATTTGACTTTTAAAACCTAACAAATATTCACTGATAGCCATGCTAGCATCCTACGAATTCAGCACAGCACTAACCAATTTTCATACCAGATCAGGATGGCATCTTAAGGGTGCGCTATTCATCTTCAATGGTGTCCTGTACATGTTGGAATAGAAGGTAATGAGCTAGCTTGTCAGGCGCAGGTTCACTAGGCGCAAGACTCGAGACGTCGGAGAGGGCGTAGCGTACAATGTACTGAGAAAGGACGCCTCGTGGGAACGCGGAGGGCTTTCTAGAGAAGTGGTAATTGGGAAAGCGGGGAGTCGTTCTAGATAAAGGGGCCGGAGGTGACGGTAGGTCACTATAGTTGGCAGAGGACGAGAGTGAGACGTGATTAGAATAATATAACTATTCCTAAAGACAGAAAACAAAGCGTGAAGATCTCAGTCTCGGAAATGGAAACTACATAGGTGCCCTCGCTAAGCAATAAAGACTAGTGGGATTAAATAAGGGACCCATAAATCCTGCCTAAGGCATATCTCAAGAATCCTTACATAGCTGATTAACTAGCTAGAAATGGGAGAACAAGACCAGCAATGAAAAGGGATGAGTTTACAACTCACTCATTAATCAAAAAAAAAGCGAAAGAACTGATACTGGAGGCATGGTATAAATGCTTGAACTGGTAACTTGGGCTTGAGGAGGAGGGTAGAAAAGCTAAGGAACTTGGCAAGTACTATAGGATCTAGGCCCAAACCAATCAACCCAGTATATCTTTCAAACCTTTCAAATTTCAAAGACATAGCAGGGAGACAGATTCAAGATTCTTCCAGGCAAGGTTTGGAATCAGAAATACAAAAGTCTATCTGCATATGATAGGAAAAGTTGAAGATAATATATGCAATTTTTGTAGGAAAGAAAGGCAGGGTGTGCAACACCTGTGATTATATTTTCCTGAATTCAGAGAAAAAAGAAAAGATGTTTTCAGGGCATAGAGCCAAGAACACTTCCAGTATTATTTAAAACAAAGATAGGGAAGGAAGCTCTTATTAAATATATGGACACATCCAAGTGCATGGTAGCACACAAAGGATATTAAAATAGGAAACACCAATAAGAACTTAACAAGTAATTGAGTAGATTAAATGAAAGGGAGGAGTTTGGGCGATATAAATTATGTAAATAACGTGTTATAGCTAGATAGCTGAACACACCATGATTAAAAAAAAGGAATCGTGTGCACAAATTCCCCCTATCGAGGGGGACTATCCTTAACACCTGTCAGTGGTGTCCCCTACGAACCTCCAGCTCTCACTGTAGAGTCTGCAGAGCCGAGATTGAGTAACACTTTATCAACTTTGTGCTGAGTTACCTCCCCCTCCGTCAAAGATACGCTTCCGATAACACATAAGACGACCAAGACGATGATAATGATGCTGGAAATGAGGAAGGTTAATGCGGTACAAAACGCTACAACGGTAGTCAGAGAAGCCCTCGTTATATTACAACATGTACTACCCACCGGCGGGCGAACAAAAAGCCCACGAAAGCAAAGTACAAGACCCTTCCTGTTACGGGCTAGGCCCGGCTGGGTTCTGGCTGGGCTGTTTAAGGCTATAGGGCCCATCCTTATCTTAAAGGCTCAAGCGAGTTTGTAAATCTTCTCACTATACGGGAGTATTATCAGATCACGTGCAAAGGGCAAGGGTATCTGGAACAGGCATTGTAGTTATAAAGAGCCATAGCTTCCCGCTCGTAATTTCCTCATAGAAAATATAAACATTTAATTGTGGCATTACTTTCGTGTATTGGCCGAAAGTCCTAGCCCGTCACACTTCCGGCCTCAAGAAAAGCAGATTTCGAGTCGTCAAAAATATCGTCCCTACTCATCTTAACTTCCGAATCTACTAGCCAGGAGGGCATCTGAAATACATGAGTTACTCGACGACCCCACGTCCGTAACGACTTTTGAATGCTAGGCTAGGCTCCTTCACGACAGTCACTCTCGACCAAGACTTTTCTGACATCTTTTCACGACCTTCGGTTTGTCCTGCGGCATGAATCAAGGGAGGAGTAAGGAAGAGGCTAGGAAAGTTGAGAGACGCTCTTAGGTATACACAGGTCTGCTGCGCCCGGCTGGCTGGCCTCTTCGTCATAAGAGAGCCCCGCACCCAGTGGTTTTTGAGACTTTTCCCAGCAGCTACACACCCGCAAATGGCCATCGTTT